TTTTCGCTCGCGAGTCCCGTTCACGCGCGCGCTGCCATGTATATTTTCGCTGGCGAGTTCCGTTCACACGCGCGCTGTGGACCCAATGCGCGTGCACGGGTTGTGGCACGGGTCTGACGCGATACAACGCGCTGTGCCAGAGCGTAGGTACTGACACGCGATCGTTCATGTCGGTTCATTTCCTTTAATGTTTTCTGTCTTTTATTTGCGCCTGATGTGTTTCGCTTCTGTGGAGAGGGCACATCACCTTGACCTCCGGTGACGCACCGATCACTGATGCGGCCGCCAAGCAGGGAGCACTCCACTGTCTTTGCGGTCGGTAGATCTGCGTCCTGAGCACGGCCACAGTAACATTATCAAATCAGGTGTCGCCACCTCAAAAACTAATTTAACACGCGATCGTTCATGTTGGTTCATTTCCTTTAATGTTTTCTGTTTTTTATTTGCGCCTGATGCGTTTCGCTGTGGAGCGGGGCCATGGACGTAATTTTTTTTTTTGGGGGGGGGGGGGGGACATGTCCCCCCCACTTTTTCCAAAGTCAAGTTTTGACCCCTGCACTTTTTACCATCCAAAAACAATATTACACTATGTTAAATTGACACTGGTTGAGCTCTAGGACCAAGCGGAAAACAACCGTTTGTGTTGAAGCTCGTTTCCCATTAGAACATACTGTAAAGATACCCCCGCCACACACACACATACACACACACACACACACACTTTTAAACTGAAAATTACGTCCATGAGCGGGACGCATCACCTTGTCATCCGGTGACGCACCGATCACTGATGCGGCCGGCAAGCAGCGAGCATTCCGCTGTTTTTGCGGTCGGTAGATCTGCGTCCTGAGCACGGCCACAGTAACATTATCAAATCAGGTGTCGCCACCTCAAAAACTAATTTAACATGCGATCGTTCATGTCGGTTCATTTCCTTTAATGTTTTCTGTTTTTTATTTGCGCCTGATGCGTTTCGCTGTGGAGCGGGGCGCATCACCTTGTCATCCGGTGACGCACCGATCACTGATGCGGCCGGCGAGCAGCGCGCACCCTGCTGTTTTTGCGGACGGTAGATCTTTTAGAACTGCAGTTCAAAGGTAACTCATAAGGTGAATATATATGAACCCAGGTAGCAGTTTCTCTTTAGGACTGAGAGGAGATGCAGGAAGATAACAAACAGACAGGACAGAAAAATAGTCAAATAAAAACAAGTTAGTTTTTGTACCTGGTGGTTGCAACAAAAATTGAAGGTAATCAGAAGTGAGGAACAGAAAATGAAATAATTATTTTAATGTTTAGAGCAGCAGGAACTCTGAGAGGCTGCAGGCGCATCAGTGAGTTTGCGGCCGCTGCGCAGGGGGAGGGGGGAGATGGCTGAAGCAGTTGTTAAAAGAAATGTGTTGAACTTTGAAAATGTGGGCGCAATTTTAATTGTCAAAAACTCCAGCGAACCATTAGTTCATTTTGCTCAAATAGAAATAGAGGCCTGCCTCTAATTTTGGCCCTCCTTCCAATAAAGGCCTGGAGCTTGATGAGCTTGAGTCAAATACAGGCCCGGGCCTATATTAGAGGATTTACGGTAATATAATAATAGGCTATGTATGCTTTAAGTTACTGTACCTTACAATTAAATGTGTTATCTATGAAAGATGAAATGCTTTGTGGAGTGAAATAACAGGAATTTCTGGGCCAAACACATCCTATTTCATAGACACATCTCTGGCGTTTATAACAAATCAAACCTTTTTAAAATCGGTAGAAAATTGAGCAAGTTAGAGTTGTTTAAATAGTACATGCACCATACACCCCAGTGTCAAGAAAGGAGGCAGGTGTCTGAGGTAAGATGGCCGCTACGTCGCTTCCCATTTGCAAACAGTGGGGACGAGGCATCTAGTGTTTATATACATATCTATGATGACGACTGGAGGTGAGCTCAAATTGCCATTTTGCTTCAGCCAGGTCCTCTTGCCCATAGATATCATATATTAACTAGATGGCCTAACTGGGAGTCGACAGCGTCCTTACACGGCGGCCATCTTACTTCGGACAGTTAACCGTTCTCTAGCTGAGGGTGAGTGCACGGCTCAAATAAAAATACTTATAACTTGATGAAATGTTAACGGATTTACAAATGGTTTGCCTTATTACAAACTGTATGATACATAGACTTGACATGGGATACTTACACATGTTGAAATTACCGCTATTACTTTTGAAACACGACATAATTGTGAACAGTGTGTCCCGGCTAAGCTATTTTGCGCGTTAGGTTGAGAGAGAGACCACAATCAATATTTTTATAGGGTTCGTGTGGTTCAACGAAACTAAGAAGTGTACATAAATCTAATGTTTGTCTAAATGGCTGTCTTGGTGGATGTTTTAGTGTTTATTTGCTGTCTAACTTGGCTTAGAGAAGACGAGGCTGCCGTGGCTGCGCCGCTTACCGACAATGTGAGGTGTGGAAGCTGAGGGTAAAATTGCCCTTGTTTTCCAGGCGGCTTACTTTGTAAAAAAAATGTAAAAAACTTAGATTGAAGTATGTTAAAATAGCGGAAATTGCTGGCTTTTTTTTTTACAGAAATACATGTGAAACACAACAAGCATGCCAGACTTTTGTGCCGCCTATGGATGCTCTAATAGACAATGTCTTCAATCACGACAAAGTGGGATCACCTTTCACTCGTAAGATTTAACAATAACAAACAGTGTTAGGCTGATAAGTCTCTGTAATCTGCTTTGCTTTTAACTGCTTTTTAGAAATAACAGTGATGGCAAAGTTTAAGATCTATCAGCTAACGGTGATTTAAAAAAGTTTAATTGCTTGAATTCAAGATTTCTTGGTTAATCAATCATTGCATGTTTCTTTCTTGACACCTTTTGTTTAACTATTGTTTGTCTTATGTTCATGTTAAAGGAAAAGGCTGTAAACTATTTACAATGATTTATAAAGCTGCCCACATTTTGTCACTTGTTTAAGATTTCCCAAAGATGGAGAAAGAAGAAGGCAGTGGGAAATTGCCCTAAGAAGTGTCTGCGATCTTCCTCAGAGCTGACGCTCAGTGGCGTCATGATCAAAACTGTCAGCAAGGTAAAAAAAAAAACTTCCCCGTGTTTCAAAAAGAACGCTTTAGCCTCTGTCTTCTGTTACTTTTATAATCAAAAACATGTATTATCTGTAATAAACAAGCTTTTCATAACTGTCAGTCTGTCGTTCATTTACTCTTTAATTTTTGAAGTGTTTAGTTAGCCCTTTACTTTAACTCACAATTATCCCAGTTTTCTCTTCTCAAACTTTCACTTTAAATGGGTTGCAGGCTGAAAGTGGAAATGAATATAAATTATTATAATAATTTGCCAAAGCAAGTATATATTAGGTTCATATTACTTGCAAATATTAAAGTCAAAGTAAATAAAATATATTCTGTGTATCTTCATTTGTCTTTTTATAAAATATTTTCTCAGTCATTGAAGTTCTAAAGTTGTTTTGCTTTTTTGTTTTTGGACTGGGTGTTTTTACTTTAAATTTTGTTTGCTGCTTCTGTGTATTAATTTATTTATTTATTTGTTTTACTATTTTCTGTAAATCAAATCAGGTATTTGAGTTTTCATTTATAAGTTGATATGGTAAGTTATAAGGTATCTTAAAACTTATATTTATAATTTGACATCAGTTTACAAACTACAGCTAGTTCATCAGAAGCAGATCTTGTTGAACGTAATACATCATGGGAAATTGACAGGATAGGGGAAAACAGCTGGAAAGTGGAGTGAAATAAGGGGAGTTTCCTGCCAAAACTGATATATTTCATAGCCACTTTTCTAATGTTTCAAAAAAATCAAACCGTCTGATAATCGGTTAAAAATTGAGAAAGTTAAGAGTTGTTTAAATAGTGCATGCACCACTAAACACCAGTGTTAGAGGGGGGCAGCTGTCCGAAGTAAGATGGCCGCCGCGTACGGACGTCAGGGTCCATTGACGAACAGCGCGGGCGAGCCATCTAGTTAATATATGATATGTATGGGTCCTCTTATTATGTCGATGGTCCTCTTGCCCAAAGATATGTATATTAACACATCTGTTGTATGTTTATCTATGCTCTTGCCCCCCCCCCCCCCCCCCTTCGCAAACAGCTGTTAAACATAGATCTTATGATTTAGAAAATGCTTAGCTGCGATTGACGTGTCTCTACATTTTAGATATTATCTTGCTAATTTTGTGTTTGTTCTATTTTTGCGAGCTGGTTAGATGCGAGCTTCGTTTCCAGCTGCTTCAGCAAACCTGTCCTCCTACCTCTGCAGCACGCTTGGAAAAAAACGCGTCTGCTCCCTGATTTGCTAATGGATGTTAGAGAACTGATCAGTGCCTACGTTTTCCAAAAGACGCACACATCGGCACATTTTTTTAGTGCCATTTCGCCATGTTGCCCAGGTTGTCCAGTAACAAACCGCTACAGTATCTGTGCTTGATTAATAAGATCTGGCTGTCTTTGACAACAGACATGCGCTAAATCAAGTCCGGGGGCGCTTTGTGTTAGATGCTGCGAGACAATGAAAACAGAATGAAGAAGAAGAATTTCTATAGCGCCTCTCAACATAAAATTCACGAGGCGCTTCACAAAGGCAAAAAATAAAAAATAATTCAGAAAATTGTTAAAATGAAAATGGTGAAAATATAAATCAGCAAAAAAATAGACAATTGTGATTAAAAAATGTTAAAAGAGAGAGTGAACACGAAAGAGGGAAATCAGTGGATCCTGAGGAAGGTGGAATAGGTGGGGAGAGCAGAATAAAAAGAGAGTGGTGAAGAAGGTCATACAAAAACCACTTTGAAGAAGTGAGTTTTCAGCTGCTTTTTAAAAGAGTCCACTGATTTGTGACGTGTTTGGCTTTCCATAACTCCTGACCCTCACGCGGGTGTCTCCCGTCTTTTTACGTTAACGGCTGGTCTGTCGGTGGGCGTGGACACCGACTAAATATCACGCCTCTTTTTGTGTAGGTTGATCCGATTCGCTGTTGGGATCCTTGGTCTTCTCTGATTGGTCAAACATCAAGTCAATATGCTCGCGCGGTGGAAGCCGGTGACTGTAGCCCTGTCCCCACTCTCCTCCTACCAGCCAGCTTGGTCCCGCATCTCGTCGCCGATTCCGTCGTGGACATTAATTTAATCAAAGGTAGGCAGTTGTAATTAAGTCACGGCTTCCGTAGAACGATATAACAGCAAGTTGGAGAGAAGTGAAACGCGCTCGGTTCTTATCTCGCTTTAACCACTAAGGGTCCGTTACGGACCAGAGGCTACTTCCTGGTTTCATGATTCGTGTTGTTTTTTATCAGGTCATTTGCCAACGAACGTTCTTCTCACATCTCATCTTAACGGTTTCCGCATTTCTGATGTGGATAAACCGCCTCGGGCAGCTTGGGCAGGTTGTCTCCCTCCATGTGTGGATGCTTTAGGAACATTGTGTAACAGCAAACCAGGGCAAACGTCAGCCAGGGATATGTCATGCTCTAATGCTGCAAACCCCAGACTTTAACCGCCTCAAAGAAGCATCTGTGCCTGTTCTCACTCCCTAACCCCAACCATATGACAGTGTGTGTTCCATGATTAGCTTCTACAGATTTACCGTTTAAGGCGATTATAGAGAATAAAATCTGGCTGAATCACTGCTCTGGCTACTCCCACCTCAGGCTGTGAATGAGCTCTTTCACCGAGAACACACTGGATCCTGTATTTTTACAAATCAGTCAAATAAAAAAGTGTGTGTGTGTGTGTGTGTGTGTGTGTGTGTGTGTGTGTGTGTGTGTGTGTGTGTGTGTGTGTGAAAAGGCACAATGTCTCAGAAGATCAAGGCCGGTGCTGTGGTGGAGATGCAGGGGGATGAGATGACTCGGGTTATCTGGGAGCTCATCAAAGAGAAGCTCATCTTCCCGTACCTCACACTGGACCTGCACAGGTGAGAGCCTCACTCATCAAATATCAAACATGCCCTGAAAATGTTCCATAGCATGATTGTGAGGGTGAATGATTAAACACATCATGTTATTCTAACAACCTGACAGACCTGCATGAGTTCTAACTGATCTTGTGTTTCTTGTTTAGCTTGCATTCATATACTCAGTACTGTCTGTTGAGGTTTTACAGCAAGGCTGCTTATAACAGTACGTCCAGTTGGGCGGTTCCTGACGAGCCCACTGGTCAGAGAAAAGGGCCAAGCCAGTCATCAGAAACCCCAGTGGTGTAATAGCCTGACCAAAGGACGAGGTTGAAGACACTGATCTCAAGTCCTTCCCTGAGACTGGACAGAAAGGAAGGACGATGAGCACCATTGAGGGTTTGAACCACCACAAGATTCTGGAGAGCATCAGTAAGAAAACCACCACGTATGAACTGCTGAGTGTAGGTGTCAGGCAGCGGAAACCCAATGTGGAGGAGGATTAGGAGGAACCTTCTTGGAGAGAAACAGTCCTACATAGCATGGATGAGTTGCTCCCTTTTATGTTTTCCATGGCAGCCATCTTGAATTTTATAACATCATTTAGTGATGTGTTGGACCTCCACCAGCTACAGCCACACCAACTATGAGATGGAAGAGAAGATTCCTGTGAGTCAGCCTCTGACAGCCTCCGTCGTGTTGTATTTGTGTAACCAACCGGGGTTCAACAGCCCAGACACACTGCTCTGTGGTTCTACTCTGATACTAGAGCAGGGTAGATGGTCTGGGGCTGTGCATCCTCACACTGTTGTGCTTCTGGCTTGTTTCCAGTCTGTGAATCACAATGGGTGAAATGTGGAACGAGGAAACAAAAATTTGTAAATTCTGACTAGCTTCATGCTAACTGGTATCCATTTCCTCCTGTAAAGCTATGACCTTGGAATGGAGAACCGAGATGCTACAGATGACAAAGTAACGGTTGAAGCAGCCGAAGCAGTTCGCCGTTACAATGTGGGCATCAAGTGTGCCACCATCACACCAGATGAGAAGCGTGTGGAAGAGTTCAAGCTGAAGAAGATGTGGCGCTCACCTAACGGTACCATCCGTAACATCCTGGGAGGCACCGTGTTCAGGGAGGCCATCATCTGTAAAAACATCCCCCGACTGGTGCCTGGTTGGCAGAAGCCCATCATCATCGGCAGACATGCACACGGAGACCAGGTAACCGGTCTTGAGCTCTGGAAGCCGTGGGGTCAGGAGGGGACTAAACGGTTTCCTGCTGCTCTGCCCTACTGGCTGAAAGTGAAATAACAGCTGTTATAAACAACTCTGCTATAGTTAGCACTAACAACAAGTTACGACTAAGATGAGCCAACTAATACTAATATAAACCACAGAGTAAAAAGATCCACACTGTTGGACAAAAATATTACATTACCAGTAGCAACAAAGCCAGGTCACTATCAGTCCATGATTGCGTAAACTCCTTCAGCTTCCCCAAACTAGCGTAGGCCGTGCTGATGTTCACTCTGGTTTTAGCTTTTTGCCTCACCTCCAAAAACATTACTCTTACATTTACTTCCAGGCTCTGCCATGATGCCAACAGAAAAGCAGACTTTTTTTTTTCTTGTGCTGTTTTGATAGTCAGCGAATTGAAAAAGCTAACTGCTAGCCTTTAAATTGGCTACCGGCACAGAAAATAGTAGGGATGCACCAAAATGAAAATTCTTGACTGAAACTGACGAGGAAACCAAGGCCGAAACACCAAAATTATTATGTCAATAATTAGAACCACAGCAAGGAAACGTAGCGGGAAAACAGGTAAACAAAACTGCTCTGTGTTTTAAAAAAGAACTACAGCATGGAATTAGAGATACGACACAGCAAGAACACATCTAAGATGTTCAAAGCCTTTGTGTCATTCGTACCCTGACTGAACCCCACATTAAGTCATTCACTGCCAGCCGTTTGCTAGCCAGAAAAACCCTTCGTTGCCAGCGTTTTTACTGTTTTTTTTTAAGAGACAGAATGTTGCGCGCTAGGATGATGTTGATGCTAAAACAACCAAAACAAAGCAGAGACTCACCTCTTACATCAGAAAGAAGCCGCGTGTTTTGAGCGCTATCTGTTCTTTCATAATCCGTTGTTGAATTGTGATCGGCAGAAGCTTTTCCGGTTCGCGCTTCACTTTTTTTTACAGCAGCAGCCCAAAACGATCTGCTAACACATGGATTTCTACTTCTTGACCATGTGTCGAGATGAGTCGTAAGCTTGGAACTTTGGCTGAGATTCAGACTCTGGCACAGAAGGTGGATTCGATCAAAGAGAGAGTTGACGGGACCGCACGGTTGGGACTAGATTAATTTACACCATTATTGGATCTAGAGGGGTTGGAGACCAACAGAACTTTAAGACGGAGAGGAAATTATCTCTGGCCCCAAAACAAGTTCTTATCTGACTCTGGTGCCCTTGAGCCTGTGAGGCTGAAGCGAATACCCCCCCCCCAGAAGAAATGTGGAATGCTGCCGTCGACATGGCAACTCTGTCTCCCTATCCCAGCCTGGGCAGGACTGCGACCGGTGAAGGTCATGGGTGAAGGTCATGGAACCGTTTCCAGGAGTCACTGTGCTCTCTAACCCAACGACCTCCCACCCCTGTTCAAACGGAGGTGACGAGCGCTGCTTATCGCGGCTGCATGCACTGATGTGTGGAGAGTCCCAAACCCTACCTCCCCACCTAGTGGACACTTATGTTGTGTGATGTCTGAAGTCTGTTGCATTTCTGTCTGAGGTGTTGTTTGCAGAGCAAAGCTGCCCTCCCTGTGGAGGGTAACTCTGAAGTGCCTTTTTTTTCCTCCACCTGAACCAATCCTCATGTAAACTCTCTGATCTCTATTAAGGTAGCGCGACTCGGTTTGTGAATGACCACAGTCACCAATTCTTATCATTTGTCTATGCCTATGTATGTCTGTCTGATCTCAGAATTGTGTGTACTGAAACTCTAATTTCCCTCTGGGATTAATAAAGTATCATTGAATTGAATTGAATGTGTCGTACGCGGATGAAGATCGGCTTTAGAGCTGGGATGTTTGTTCTCACGGTGCAGGGGCTCGTTCCAATGCCCACACAGTAAAAAAAAATGCAAATGACGACTTTTGTCATCAATGGCAGTGAATGAGTTAAAAGAATTGGTCAAAGTGTTAAAAACGTCTTGGTGAGGAGCTGGAGGAGGAGGTGTGTGTGTGTGTGTGTGTGTGTGTGTGTGTGTGTGTGTGTGTGTGTGTGTGTGTGTGTGTGTGTGTGTGTGTGTGTGTGTGTGTGTGTGTGTGTGTGTGTGTGTGTGTGTGTGTGTGTGTGTGTGTGTGTGTGTGTGTGTGTGTGTGTGTGTGTGTGTGTGTGTGTGTGTGTGTGTGTGTGTGTGTGTGTGTGTGTGTGTTACATAATGGTGTTGCTAGGACACACCTAGTCAATAATTATCTTGGATCTTTGGACCTGTTGCAGCACTGTGACCAAACTAAATATGAGACTGGCTCTTGACCCAGTGGACACGTCAGCAGTTCTCCAGTCTGAGATCAAAAATGCAGCAGGAGAGTCTAAATGCACATTAGATATGAGCACCATGTTGATTTGTGTCTGTTCCTGAACCGGTACCGGCCTATGACTAAGACTTATGCTGTGTGTATGTAGCCATATTGTTTTCCAGTATTTAACTACCAACCCCTTCCCCCTGTAGTACCTAGCCACGGACTTTGTGGTGCCGGGCCCTGGAACGGTGGAGATGGTCTACACACCCACAAATGGAGAACCGGTCAAATATGTCGTCCACAAGTTTGAGGGTAAAGACAAAAGTTTGACATCCACTCTAAAACTAACTGCTGATCATCAGATGAATGGATAATCTGTCCTTCATGTTTATCATCCTACTCTTAGAATGATTTAGAAAATCAAAGCTGAGACCTAAGAATCTTAAAATGGATGAGGCTCTAATCAAGCCTAACCCCTTCTACCTCAGACAGATCAATCATTGCTCATCTAATTTCTGGAAAACAGACATATTTTAGTCTCGAGTCTTTTTCTACACAGGAGAAGTGATAAGTTTAGGATAAGTAAAACTGTCCCTGACCCACTCTGGTGTGTGGTGAAGGTCAACTGTCTCTTGTGGTTTTCTCTCTAGTTGCATCCTGCTGTGATTTAGACCAACTCACTTTTCTACATTCACACTTCCAGTTGGCTGCAGAAACTGTAAAAGAAAGCAGAACCATAATCTCCTATTTACATTTCTGTTCCATAAAGGGATACTTGGCAACTTTTTCATATTTTTAAATCATTTTCTTGAGCCGGTTTGTGGTAAAATGACCCGTTACAGAGTTATGGAAATGTCACCCAGCCCCTGTCTCCTGTGGACAGAATATTCCACTTGCAGCTTCACAGTTGACAATCCACTCTGCTGAGATGACATACCTGGCGCTGCAGTCTGGCTCATGTTTAAGATCAGGAACACACCTGATTTGTTTAATTTAGTGATGAATTTCTCCTGTAGACACACCAAGAAAGGCCGGGGAGATGTTTCAGCTGTTACATAGTCTCCTACACCTATCTGCTGCATTAGCGTCTGATAGAAAACAGATGGTGAAACTCTAGGATTAGAAAAAACACATCTACGTCACACTATCACTTACCATTCATGGACTCACCCATCTTGACTCACGACGGGGAAGGCTGCTGTTGGTTTGGCGTTCAGGAAACAGCAGAGAACAACTCAGCTGCTCGAAGATTACAGTTAGCATTAGCAACATCGCCTAAAAGCAGAACTCCTCCAGGCTTTTTTTACTGGTGGAGATAAAACATCAGTGTTGGAGAGCAATCAGAGTCAGTGGTAGAGTCATGTTGCTGTTAGCCAATCAGAGGAGAGATGTCCAAATATCAGGAAGTAATTCCAGATCCTGCTGTCTGAAGCTACTTTGTCCTCTAGCTGATGTGTCCTTCCTGAAACGGGTGCATCTGAGCTTTTGTCCCTAGAACGACTTGCAACGCTTTCATTCCTACTAGAGACCACTTCAAATGTGTTGAAAGTATGAGTAGAGTTGACCTTTAACCCCTTCTGTTCACATCTAACTGACCTTTAGAAGACTGAAAGCTTGAGAAGTAAAAATACAAAAACTCAAAATATGAAAGCTTAGAGATTAGAAAAACTAAATCAACCATGAGCAGGTGTTCTAGACTGGTCTGATTGTGTTTGTGTTTGCTCAGGAACTGGGGGTGTGGCCTTAGGGATGTACAACACAGACAAGTCCATCAGGGACTTTGCCCACAGCTCCTTCCAGATGGCTCTGTCTAAATGCTGGCCTCTGTACCTCAGCACCAAGAACACAATCCTAAAGAAATATGACGGTCGCTTCAAAGACATTTTCCAGGAGATCTATGAAAAGTAAGCATTTTAAAATGCACACGTGACTCCCTTAAAGCGCCTTTACCTTATGTAGACCAGAAGTAACGGTTGGTTTGTCCTTGGTCTGTTAGAGAATATCAAACTCAGTTTGAGGCTAAAGGAATCTGGTACGAGCACCGGCTGATAGATGACATGGTGGCTCAGGCCATGAAGTCTGAGGGAGGCTTCATCTGGGCCTGCAAGAACTACGATGGGGACGTACAGTCAGACTCTGTAGCACAAGGTTGGTGCAACGAGCACATTATTTCATTATTATAACTTTTATGCTTTTTCCTCTGTCCATCAAAAGGATTCAATGTCTGTTTGTTGGAACTGTTTCAGGTTATGGTTCTTTGGGCATGATGACCAGCGTGTTGGTCTGTCCTGATGGGCGTACCGTGGAGTCGGAGGCTGCACATGGGACCGTGACCCGTCACTACCGACAACACCAGCAGGGAAAAGAGACGTCCACTAACCCCATAGGTAGAATCGTCCTGCATAATACATCCTGAGTGAGTGTGACGGGATTTGTAGATGTTTCCTGACAGCAGTGTGTGTTTGCTTCAGCCTCCATCTTTGCATGGACACGGGGCTTGCTCCACCGGGCCAAGCTGGACAGCAACGCAGAGCTGCGCTTCTTTGCCGAGTCTCTGGAAGCCGTCTGCATAGAAACCATTGAAGCTGGTTTCATGACCAAGGATTTGGCGATTTGCATCAAAGGCTTGTCAAAGTTAGTTTTTGTCTCTTTCAGAGATGTTCTCAACAAAACGTTTAAACATTTCCTCATCTTTGCATGTTTTTGAGTCCATCTTCACCAAATGATGGTGTCTTTTAGTCTGTCCTCGATATTGTGAGGTCTAGAAACCTTTCAGTGTTTACTCATCTCCTGTCTTCACTTTGTGAACGTGTTTTGTGCTTCTCAGTGTGACAAGCGCCGACTACTTGAACACGTTTGCATTCCTGGACAAGTTGGCAGAGAACCTGAAGGTGAAGCTAGCCAGCCCGCCCAAGCTGTAGTTGGTGGTCCCAGCTGCAGCGCGTACACACACACACAGCACATTAACACAGGCAAGTTAAGTAGGAGGTCTACATGAGGACAAAGGCCTCCGGCCTGTGGCCCAGCTTCAGCCTCCAGGAGTCCTGGAGTACCAGTGGTCTCATGTCGGCTTTAGCCTGATGACGATGAGCTGATCTGATCTGTGCTGGGTGGGGGGAGGGGAGGGGGGTGTAACCGACTTGCAGCATCTTAATACCAGAGTGCCTGGGAAGCAGCTTGTGTTGTAACACAGCTGAGTCTACACACATTCCATTTTATTTTAAATGTTGATCTGATTTCAGATAATAAAACTGTGTGTCACCATGTTGATTAAATAGTAATGAACAGAGATTCTTTTTAACCTGTGTGTGTGTATGTGTCCATCCATCAGCCTTAATGTTTATTATAATAAACGTTAACCTGAGTAAAGCTACTAGTTTGTCTTGGTTACCCATGTGATGGTAAACTGTAGCATAGAAATCTAGACCGACGCAAAGTAATTTTGCTCTGCAAGTCAGTCTAGCCACACCCTATTAGCGCCCCAGCAGGCAAGGCCAGTCTGGTGGCATGCCAATCACAGCGCTCTTATCGGTGTGGTGGGCCAATCACAGCGCTCTTATCGGTGTGGTGGGCCAATCACAGCGCTCTATTGGTGTGGTGAGCCACTAACAGCACTCTATCGGTGTGGTGGGCCACTAACAGCGCTCTATCGGTGTGGTGGGCCACTAACAGCGCTCTATCGGTGTGGTGGGCCACTAACAGCGCTCCATGAGGTTGGTGGGCCAATCACAGCAGAGCAGAGAATATCAAATATTTCTGGAATCCCTTATTAACATCAGAAGTACTCTACCATTGTATCAAGTAATACCTGGACTTTATTTCCATCATTGCTTGATGAGATATTTTGGCTGTAAAAAGTCAAGAGGCCCCTGGGCCTATAGGTCTGGATTGGCCTGCACCGGAGGAAGTTGTATTATCTTACACTTTAATCATCTATCTACAACAGCCAGGAGGAGCTAGTGTGTTTGTTTTACTATCATCTAGATACTGCGATGTTGCGGTGGTGGCTGGTGTAAGAAACTATGCCTCCTATAAAAGCTGTGCCTTGTTAAGATGAGACGGGTGTCAGCATGGCTGTGTCTACAGACGCTGAAGCAGCAGAATGAATTCTACAATGAAATGTTACATCTGCAGCAAGAAACCTTGCAAGGTGGTGATAGATGGAACACACAGGAGGCTGGATGGCGTGATGAGAGACGTACAAGAGCCGAAGACAAGTTTGTAGTTTACACAAAGCAAAATGGAGGAGATAACAGGACACAAGGTAATTGAAGCCAAGTTAGCATCTTTTGAAAGTGGGATATAGAGGTTTAACAAGACATCGATGAATTGTTTGCAAGATTGGATTACACTGAAAATCAGCACAAAAGGATAAATATCATTGATGGGATACCAGGTGCTAAGGGAGACAAATCTAATGACTTGGAAATTAAGGTTCAACAAATAATCTGGAGCTAGATGGTACCAAGATTGAGATGGATCGCGTCCAGAGGATTGGTTATCACCAAGAGGGAGGAAAGCCAAGAAAAGTTATGGTGAATTTACTTCCTTTAAAAGACAAACAGTCCATCTTCTCTTTTGTCAAAAAGCTGAAGGGGACCAACATCTACATGAAGATGCAGAGCAACAGAAGGGAAAAGAACTCTGGCCTAAACTAAAAGCTGCGAGAGAAAGGTGAAAGAGCATGGCTGAGGTATGACAAGCTGGTCATTGGACAAAAAAACTGAACTAACTGAAAGGGAATAACACTGAGAGCAGTCGTTGATTTAAAACTGTGACGTTTTAATATTTTGTTGTTTTTGACCAATAGATACGAGATCCAATAAGGAAACAAACCCCCTTTGGCAAGTTTCTCTAAAAAGGGCCTAATCATTAGTCATTTAAATACATGCAATCTTAGAAATAAGATTGCTGAAATAGCAAGATTGTGCCAAAAAGAGAACATCTGTGTTTTGGCACTATCAGAAACACATTTGGATAAATGTTTAGATGACTCTGTTGTAGCAATTGATTATTATCTCTACAGGAGAGACGGGTAAATATGGTGGGGGTGTAGCCTTATACAATAACGACAATATAGCAGTTTTACCAAGAAACGATATGTGTGCTGAAATTCAAATGTTATGGCTTCAGATCCACACGCCTCACTCTAAGCCTTTTCTGGTTGGTTGCTGTTATCGGCCTCCCAGCTCTCACGTGTGTCATTTCGAAAAAAATATGCGACACTTTAGACCGAGCGTCTAAGGAAAACAAAGATTTTTCTCCTAGGGGGATTTTAATGTAGACTGGTTTTTCAAACAATGTCACTCACGCAAGACGGTCTTCCATGGCTAGCATATGTAACCTCACTCAAATGGTCACGTCACCCACTAGAACATACCTCGGCGCAAATGGCAAAATGACCTCAACTTGTATTGACCTGATATTTACTAGTAATCTGGATCTGTGTTAATGTTAACACACAACACACACACCTTCACTGTGCGGCATCATGTCGCTGAGCTGTATCGGGCCACATCACCTCATCCACATCGCAGACTCCATTGTCTCTTGCCATGCACCGCGTGAAAAACGCCCTGGACTGGCGAATCCATCCTTGTAAGGCCTCCACTGGGATGTCACCACAGGTCAGCTCCATTGCCCTTAGGAGGTTCTCTCTAGTGTATGGTTGTCTGTCATAAACCTTCCATCTCCACGATGAGAAGAACTCACCTATAGGGTTCAGGAAAGGGGAGTAGGGTGGCAGACAGACATTTAAAAAGTGGTTACTGTTGATGGTGAACCACTCTGATTTGGTTTGTTCTGTGGAAGCGGACATTGTCCCAAATGATCACATAAATGTGATGTGCGGGCCCAGGATGGTGTTGTTGGCGGTCCAGGAGGATGTCTTTTAGCTCCTCTAGGAAGGTGAGGAGAAGTTGGGTGTTGTAAGACCCAAGGACAGCATGCCGGTGGACAAGCCCCTACGAACGCATGGCCGCACAAAGAGTGATATTACACCCCCCCACCCCCGTTGGCCAGGAACCTCAGAGATGGCTCTTTGGCCAATGATGTTACGGCCCCTTTGCCTTCGTTTCTGCAGGTTGAAGCCAGCCTCATCCAGGAAGAGGTACTCATGAGGTCTGGCCATCGCATCCAACTGCAATATCCTCTGTGAATATGTGAAAGTGCACAGGTGTTCAGAACAACAGTCAATCAGGTAGCACAGTATTGTCCAAAACTAATGCAGGCCACTGAGCAACACAGTATATCCACTAATTGTACTGTGAACATGGATGTATTCTTACTTGCACATACTCGTAACGTAGGTCTTTGTGTCGCGCAGAGTTGCGCTCAAAGGAAACCCTATAGACCTGTTTCATCCGCATCTTTAGGCGCAGGAGAACTTGGTCTATTGTGGCCAAGCAGACATCAATGCTCTCAACGCTGACATTATCGGCAATGACTTTGTCTCTGATCTCCCGGAGTCTGATGAGGTTGTTCTCACGAACCATATCCACAATGATGGTTTCTTGTGCCTCTGTAAATATGGCAACCCTCCCACCTCTATGTGGCATTCTTTCAACTAAAGAAAGAAACATGTGTTGTCAATTGACATGTACAACAACAACTGATTTGAAACCAATATACTACTTTCACAGGCTTGTAAAACTGTATTGTGACAAAGAAAGCAATAGAGTACAATACCTGTTGTGTTGTCTGAATGCCCTGATAATGGTGGCCACGGTGAACCTACTCAGGTTTGGACAGACTCCTAGTCCTGCTTCAGCCGTTGTCATGCCATGGACAATGACATGGTCAATGACCGTTGCTCGCATCTCTTCCGTAATGATGGTGCGAGGTTGTCTTGCTCTCCCTTCTGGACCTTCTCCTCTCCCTTGTTGGCCTCCTACTCTTCCTCCTCTGATTTGAACTCCTCTTCCTCATTGGCCAGCTCCTCTTCTTCCATGGCCAGCTCTTCTCCCTCCTCTGACTCGAATTCCTCTTCCCCTGACTCTGCCTTCATCCATCGTGTTTGTTTGGAATCTTCAGCAAACTGTGCACTCTGAACTTGCTTTTATACATGTGGTCACAGCATTAGCAACAAGTGTCTTCAATTTTGAGTCGTTGTGTGTAATGAATGACGACAGGTGTGTTCATTGTGTTCAATTAGTGCTGACTGTGGCAAGCATTTGGCATCACATGAGCTTTCCTTTGAGAATATGAGCAGAGTTCTTTTGCAGCTTGTGTTTTAGCAAGGAAACGTGTTTAGATTTATGAGAACGGAGGATTGTGTTTTGTGAATTGTCTTCATGTGAAATGCGTTTATGATGTTGGAAAATGATGGCTAGATTTAGTAAATGTGTTTAGACAACTGGTCATTTGGTTTAGAGGATTGGCTTTTGTGTTTTAGCATTTGAGAAAAACTGTAAACATCTCCAAAACTGAGTGTATGGCCTTTTGCAGCAGCAATATGTTATCAAAGACTACTTCAATAAAACTGCAAATGAATAATACCAAGGTGGAGCAGGTCACCAAAGTCAAACTGTTGGGCGTTAGAATAGACAACTTATTTTCCTGGTCAGATCACGTTGACCATATAGTCAGTATGGTGGGTTGAGGAATCTTTATGTCAAGAAAGTGTTCTACATATTGTTCTACCACTGTATTGAAAAATGTTGTTTAAAGTCTTGTTTTACCTCATTTACAGTACTGCACAGTAGCTTGGTCCAGCAACATCTAAGACAACTGCAAATAGCTCAGAACAGAGCAGCCAGAGTAGTTTAGAACTGGAGTTATCCTAGTGGCTCCAATAAGAGAAAGAAGCAGCGTGCTTCATAAAAGCTTTAATTTTCACTTCTGACAGTGACGTCGTTTTTCGATGTAAACGTCAAAGGAAGCAGAAAAGGAAAGACAATGGAAAATGTTTAAAGGGAGGAAAACATAGATCAAAATGGAAAATAGAAAAAAATACAGAGGCAAAAGCACAGGAGCCCTGACAGGAAAAAGAAAGCACTCAAAGGGAGGGAAATACAGGAAAAAAGAGGAGGACTAATAAAAAGGGAAAATAACTCAGAGGGGAGAGTTTTGTAAATCCAGTTAAAAATAAGATTGTCGAAAATTTAGTGTAAGGGGCCCCATGTCTATGTTTGCCTTGGGCCCCCAGATTGCCAAATCTGCCCCTGCTGAGCTGAATTCTGAACTTTTTTGAACACTTACCCCTCCCCTCGGGTATGTTCCCTGAGACGCTCTGAGCTCAATTTTATTCTGCATATCAAAAATACAACCACAATAGGATTTTATCACCTTTCTCCCATTTCTCTGTGTTGCCAGCACAGAGGTGTTCTTGTGTGTTTGACTAGATTATTGTAATGACCAGGGGTCTCATTTATCAAGCTTGCTTACGCACAAAACGGGGTCGGAAAACTGCGTAAGCAACTTTCCATGCAAACTTTGGGATTTATGAAAGAAAACTTAGCGTAAAAATGTGCGCAACTTTAAGTTGACTAAGGACCTGGCTAACGCACATGCTGGACATGGAGAGCACCTGCAGTGCTGCTGCTGAGAAGATACAATTATGAAATCCTGCAGCATTATCACTTGTACTGCCCCCCCTCCCCAGTTTTATAAATGAGACCCGTGCTCTCTGGTCTACTCAAAAGGAGTATTTCTAGCCTACAAACACTCCAGAGTCCAGCAGCATGTGTGCTGACGAGGACCAGAGGGCGGGAACATATTACACCAGTTCTGAAATTGCTGCAATGGCTCCCTGTATATTTTAGGATCAGTTTTAAGGCTCTTTTATTGGTTAATAAATGTTTCCATGGTCTTGACTTGGACCATTCTATTTAGTCGACCTTCTTTTGAATTATGAGGCCCCGCGGTCTCTGCAGGTCCTCTGGTCTGGGCCAGTCTGCCGGAGCTCCTCAGCACTGCTGAAAGTGTTGATCATACTAGCTTGGCTTTTAATGAATCTACTGAAACTATTTTAAGCAGATTATTATAATTTTTTTTACCTCAGTGTCCAGATGTTTTATTTTTTTGTTAGGGTGTGTAGTTTTGATGTGTGAAAGCTGTCTTAATCCACATCCACTGTTGTTGTTTTTTCATGTAAAGCACTTTGTGCTGATATTATCATGAAAAGCGCTCTACAAAAAAAGTCTAGAACTTTTAAGACAAATGTGAGAGAGCCACTTTATTATTAATGTTCACAATATGGCTCTACTATGTCAGAATGTTGTAAAGAGGCATGAAAAAACATTTTTAAAGCTAACTTGTTTTCCTAATTAGCTTTAAATTATATTTTTGATCATGTATTACCATCTGTACTTGAAACTGCCTTCTTGTTTTCTTTACTTTTCCCCGTTCTGCCTTTTTGAAACCAAAGAAATAAGAGACAAGCAGCTGAAGGTAAATGACTTCCATTGTTTACCCCCGAGGTGTTGTTGCAGATGACTCCTGGGACTTCTTCACTGATAGTCCAAGCAGGGTTTAGGAGGATATTTGACCCCCAGGGTCACTTATGAGGCCTTCTTTAAGTTAAAGTGGTAAAGAAGTGCTTGTGAAATGAATTTATAATTATATATTTATTTAATTTTATTTCTAAACACAGTTTGTATTGGTGACACAGCTTCAGTGTTAGCTGCACAGACCTGAGCTGTTCCACTCTTTAATATAAAAGCAGAAAAGGTTTTGATCATTGTCGACATAATTAAAAAGAAAGTAACATAAAATATGAGGATCACGTAAATCCAACCAGGAACCCGGCTTGTGTGTGGATGGGGGGTGTTGCCTGTCTCTGACCAGCAGGTGTCCCTCTGATGTCATGTTATGTCTGCTGTAGACTCAGCAGCACAGGTGGAAGTCCAAAAATCAGAATATGGTGCAAAACTCATTTTACTAATCAGCTTAGAAGGTGAAACCAATCTGTGAGACAGACCCATTCCATGCAAATCCAGATGTTTCAGCCTTTGTTTGTTTTAACTGTGATGATTATATCCTACAACTGATGAAAACCCCACATTCATAATCTCAGACTATCAGAATATTGTGAAAAGGTTCAATATTCTAGACTCAAAGTGTCACACTCTGATCAGCTGATGAATCCAGAACACCTGCAGAGGGCTCCTGAGCCTTTAGATGGTCTCTCAGTCTAAGGTGAGTTACTGACATGGACTTTTGCACCAGATTCTCAGTTTCACCTGCTAGAGGCTTATTTAATCCTGCTGAAGCTGAAATCATTATTGATTTTAGCAGCTGGTAAAATAATTTTAGATCCAGTCAAACTTTTGGAATCCTGCTCTGTTGTTTCCATTTTATAGAAATATTTAGCAACACAACAAAGCAGAGTGATATCCTGACAAGGGCAGACAATGAGTGTTTTGTAAACACATTGTGCATCTCTCTGTGGTGAAGCTGATCATCTCAGGATGCAGGTTTACCTGAGGATGTTAGCCTGATCCAGGGTCAGTGTGTCTGCATCTCAGCATGAAACAGGGAAGTGGGAGTTTATTGGGAGAGCATGAGGAGGAGCCATGCCGCAGCAGGACCTCCAGAAAAACCAACCCGGAGGTATAATTAATGACACTAATTAGGTGGTTCTGTGTGAAGCCTGGGTCCGTATTCAGCTGAAAACCCGAACATTTAAAAGACGCTTTGATGGAGCGTTTGGCGCGGTGATGGAGGCACATCGGTCACTTTTCTCCCGCGTCAGAGATGAACGCGAGGCGGGAAAATGAATTAAAACCTAAATTAACCGCAGACAGCTCCAGTCTTTCACTCGCAGATAAGCGCGTCCTGCGGGACAATGACATCCTGACAGCAGTGAGAGGAGGTGCGCCTTTATAAGCACGACACAAATAAAATTAGGATTATGGATTAGATTGGGACATTTTCCTCACGCGTCTTTCCTCTTTTGAACCTTGTGGAGTTTGGGACAAATAAAACCTGTTACTACTGCAGGTGAGCTGGCAGCTGATTGGTTGCTTTGGACGCAAGGACCTTGGTGATGGATCTGGACGCGTTTCTCATTTGTTTTTGGACACCACCAAATTCCCAGCGATTTGTGTTGTGCGAATTCGCCATTTCCAACCAAACAGCGAACAGATGATGGGGATCCGTGTGTCCTGGTGCATGAGAGCAAAAGCTGATGTCCAAACGCCAGGAGCGAACCCATGTCACGGCCCAGGGCTGAAGCACGTGCGTGAAAAAGGCTGTGGAATGAGCAGGATAGTAATAATAACACACACACACACACACACACACACACACACACACACACACACACACACACACACACACACACACACACACAAAGACTTCTCTCAGATACTTTATTGGACGACGTCACCTGATGTTTAGCTCTGTCCCGGGCTGTGATTGGTCCGCTGCTCAGTAGGTTGTTTTGGACGCGCGTGCGTGTGCTTCTGGTGTGATGCAGGCCCTGGCAGAATCTGCTGTCATACAACCGTGGAAGCATATGGTGCGTGAGAGCAGTGAGGAGCCGCTGTGGAGCGACAAGCATGCACCGGAGCGCGTGAGGGTTTCTCCTGACAGGATGCTGCAGGGCTGCTGCTGCAGGACACACAGCGGGCTGGAGGGACACTTCCTGTTTGTATGAGAGGACATGAGTGAGCAGCGAAATTTGAAGAGTTCGGATAGCAGTGAGGGGGAGAGTGTTCCTCTGTCTCCCAGCCTCCCCTCCCCTCTCCTCCGACCCTTGCAGGGGGCCCAGCAGGCCCACAGGACCACCAACTTCTTCATCGATAACATTCTGCGGCCGGACTTCGGCTGCAAGAAGGAACCCGACCGGGAGGGTGTTTACCCGGTATTCAGCAGTGCGAGCATCCCTGGGACACCGGGCCTGGACTCCTGCTGCAGTAACGACAGCACCTCCTCCTCCTCCTCCTCTGCGTCCTCCAACGCAAGTCCTAAAAAGAGCAAAAGGAGCTGCACAGGAAGCACAGATGCAGACATTTCCCCTGAAAGTTACAATGTTGTGAAAGCAAGTGGGGGGGAGAACACCACCACCACCTCCTCCTCCACCACCACCTCCTCACTAGTGCTCCTGAACGGAAACGGAGCACCTGCTGCAGACAAGAAGTCGCTGCTGTGGCCTGCCTGGGTCTACTGCACCCGGTACTCAGATAGACCCTCCTCTGGTAAGACAATAAACCCATTCAGAACAACAACAACAACAATAACAACAAACCTTGTGTCTCATTTTGATAAACCAATTAAAGATAGATCGATGATAGCTTTAATAATCAAATTTAAATAACAACTTTTATTTTCTCATAACAATTAGCAGTATTATTTTAACAGTATAATATTTATTATGAAACTATCCGTGATTCGTTTTTCTCGATCAAAGGTTTTGTTTAAAGTTATCAAGTGCGCAGAAAACTGAACAAACTCGCATTTATTTATTATAACAATGATTTTCTTTAACCCACTTTAGAATCAAGCTTATTATTGTATAATTTGTTTTTCTTATTAATTTATAAATCAAATATAACTAAACGAAAAAGTAAATGAATGCGCCAAAAAAATAAAAATGCATTAAAGGAGAGTAAATTCAAAGATGGGTGTCACAAGAGTTTTTATTCTAGTCAACCTATTTACCGCAGTTGGAATAAAAAATACTAAAATACTCGTGTGTTTGCATGAGTCAAGTTTTAGTTTGATAATCTTAGAGAAATTGTATTATTATTATTTTTGTTATTATTATTATTATTATTATTATAATTATTATTATTATTATAGGGTTAGTGGTTATATGAGTATTTGTTTCCATATATTTCACGCTGTTAAGACACCTAACCATCGCATAATAATATTAGCAATAATAACAATAATGATAATAAATGTTTATCGTCTTGTTTCCGCTCCCTAACAGACTCTTATTCGGGTATATTCATATTTCCGCTCGGCTGTCTTTTGTCCTTACTGCAGGCCCAAGAACGCGGAAACTGAAGAAGTCCCAGAGTGGCCGCGAGGACAAGCGGCCGCGCACGGCCTTCACGGCCGAGCAGCTGCAGAGGCTGAAGACGGAGTTCCAGGTGAACCGTTACATCACGGAGCAGCGGAGGCAGACTCTGGCCCAAGAGCTGAGCCTGAACGAATCCCAGATTAAAATCTGGTTTCAGAACAAGCGGGCCAAGATTAAAAAGGCCAGCGGTCTGAAGAACGGACTGGCGCTGCAGCTGATGGCGCAGGGACTGTACAACCACTCCACCACCACCGTCCAGGAGGACAGGGACAGCGACTGAGCAGCAGCCAGTCCCCACTGGACCAGACCAAAGATTTTAACAGACAGCCTGAATCGAATTCATCCTTTCATCCTGCTGCAATCACGTTGCCTTTGTGCTCCGCCAGCGCGCGCACGGCGCACCACCTCACGAGCCAGAGGCTACCAGGGAGATCCGATGTTCAGCTGAAGCACCAATAGGCTCCTGGCCTCTCCCGGAACTTTGATTCAAGCAAATTTGAAATGAAAAAGAATTGTTTATGTTCCTTCTTGGACCCGAGCTGAGCAGGTGTGTAAACAACAAACGGGCACATCCCAAATAATAAAATGAGCTGTTCGCTCGACCAGTCCAGTGTTTTTATTTGAAAGTTCAGAAAAATTTCTTTTTCTCTTGATGTGGTGAAATAAAATAAAGTGAAACTAAGGGGCGCAAACTAACAGCACTTCTGAACCTTTGAACAGGTGAGTCTTAAAGCTGCATGAACGTAATTTTTTTTTTGGGGGGGGGGGGGGATATGTCCCCCCCACTTTCTCCAAAGTCAAGTTTTCACCCCTGCACTTTTTACCAATACTTTATATTAAATTGGCACTGGTTGAGCTCTAGGACCAAGCAGAAAACAATCATTTGTGTTGAAGCCTGTTTCCCATTAGAATATACTGTAAAGACCCCCCACACACACACACACACACACACACACACACACGTGTCCCCCCCCCCCCCACCCCCCCCCCCCCCCCCCACCCCCCACGTCTAAAGTGAAAATTACGTCCATGCGCAGCTAAAGCCAATCTGCAAACACTCACCTCTCCCTGCCAGGGAGCCTAAGTCTCCTCCATTTCCGGTCGGCTCCCAGGAAGAACGAAAAAAACGAATGCAAGTCAACGGGGCTCAAAAACATTATTTTCTGATCCGCTTTGCCTTACGCCCTGGATCGCACTAATGATGGGTGTTTCGACCACGCCAGTCACCAAAAGTTTGTAATTAGCGTGACGCAGCACGTGACAAATGTGACTTCACCACAGAATCTCCTCTAGCATAGCTGCTACTTAACACGTGAACAGATTTATGGTTCTCTCCTCCTGACGGAAGGATTAGAAGTTTTCTGAACTTACAGGTTTTGTCCTTGTGTTTTTGGTGAAGCGCTTTGTCTTCCTGGACTTATTTTCACTCAAAACCTAAAATAGCATTTCCCCATTCCAAAATAAACGCATTCTTGGTATTAAAATGTGTCTTTAAAATTCACAGACATCATATGTGAAATCCATGGCACATAACAATTAGAAAATACCGTTTTTAGCCCCGTTGACTGTATTCATTTTTTCGTTCTTCTGATGGCCTGTGGTCTGGAAGTATATGGGTGTGACTTAGGCTCCCTATCATCCCTGAATCTGGTCCACCGGTACTGGAAATTCACACTTCCAGAGTGCACAAGATAGTGCTAAACACCAGTCACTATTTTCTGGGTCCAAACATCTTTTGTGTTCCATGACTTCAGATGGTGTGTTTCTTTTTGAGACGCTGGTAGTTTGTCCTGAAGCTGCAGTGGTAGCAGCCTTCTCTGGTGTTACCGAGCAGAGAGCCTCTCACACCTAATTCTGTTGCTAAATACCTGAGTGTGTGATGATTGAGGAACCAGGGTAGCATGGCAGTGCAGCCAGACCAACAACCAGATAGTGCAATGGTTGGTTTTGGTCAGAAATGTAATGGTGAAGGATTTCAACACTTTAGTTTCTTTTTTTTATTCTCCACAATATATTTATACTATGTTAGAGCGTGGTTAAGAGGCACATAATGTTTAAGCTAATTTGTTTTGTTGCTTTAGGATTCAGTCCAGTCGGTGAGCAGAGAAACATATTTATCACTTTTATTTTAGTTTATTTGGAACGATTGTTTACTCGTTTTTCTATTGGAAACTGAGCTGCAGTGTGTGTGTGTGTGTGTGTGTGTGTGTGTGTGTGTGTGTGTGTGTGTGTGTGTGTGTGTGTGTGTGTCTCAGATCACTGGGTCATGTGAGTGCTGAATCCATATTCATATCTGCTGGGCTCCTCTGCCAGATATACAGATATGAGAGCAGTTCAGAGTCCTACAGAGCATGAAATTGTCTCCATCTCTGAATTTTCCATGAAGCATTCCTCCTCACATCCTGGAATACCTGGAGTGGCTCTGCAGGCAGGGAGGAGAGGAGAGGAGAGGAGACAGCTACAGTTCAATAAGAAAAGAGAAATACAGTCAGGCATCTGGTGATTTTATTTTGAACATCCATCCATCTGTCAAGTTTTTATCTGATTGTAGTTTTTTTAACCTGCTGATAAAACATTGAGATAAAATAAAGTTTAAGAAAATCTAAGTTTTATAATGTGAACATTTATTTTCTCAACAAATCACTGAATAATATTTAAATAGTTAGATTCAAATCAATTAGTAAATAACAGGACATCTATCTATCTATCTATCTATCTATCTATCTATCTATCTATCTATCTATCTATCTATCTATCTATCTATCTATCTATCTATCTATCTATCTATCTATCTATCTATCATGTTCTGGATTAGTAGGAAGTCCCGCCTCGTGTTCCGGATTATGTGGCAAGGTGGAGAAGCGAGGGTCTGGGCGGGATTTGATCCCCAGACTCCCAGGTGAGAGTCACACGCGCTAACCAGTCAGCCAAAGGGACATCCCCTTGGCCAATAGCCAGGGCGCATGATCAGTCGGGATACAGTGGCACTCATCCTGTCACAATTAGAAGGAAGTCCAGCCCCATGTTCTGGATTAGAAGGAAGTCCGGACCCATGTTCTGGATTAGATGGACACCTGAGCTCTGACTCTCTTGAATCTTCATCTTTCTGTGGAGTTCCTGCTCACTGGGTTCAGATGAATCTCCTATCAGGTCGTGGAGATCATCATAATCTTCAGTGTTGGGGAGTAATGGAGTACTTGTACGTTACGTTTGTAGATTACTAACTATGAGTAACTGTATTCCATTACAGTTACTATTTTTAAACATTGTATTTAGAATACAGTTAGCTTCATAAAACCAATGGAATACTTGTGTGTTTTCCACTTTCCACCCATGATTAATAAATAAATACATTATGGGCAAAGTGTCTCCGTGTTGTGTAGAATATGTAGTCTGGCCCTGGTCCATTGACGGCTCTCAGTCGTGGGGTGGGATCAACGGTTCTCTTTCAAACTGTCTCCACATGCTAAGAAACTACCGCTAAGGATGTTGGTCAACAAGGCAGATGCATCATTTTCTAAATAAACTTAAGACAGAAACAAAAAACAAACAAACAATATTTTACATAACATTTATCACACACACACACACACTCATTTATAAAAGCAGATAGATACAAGGCCTAACCCACCCTCACCCAACCTCAACCTTCTCCGTCCCACTTCACAGGACTATAACAGCCCATTACATTCAGGGCTATGGAGCTCATTAATACCTAATTAGATTATAGATACGGGTGCTGTTGCCCTTGTTATAAAGGGGACGGTGTGACAAGGCTCTGAGTGACACCAGAAATGATGAGGGGTGTTATCCTGAACTGAACCTCTGACCCCAATCAGCTTGAGAGGGTCAGAGCATGGAACAGAACAGATTGAAGACAGACTACCAGGGGAAATATGGTACCTAAAGAATACTTTCAGATTCAAACGAGGAGGAGGCATGCTCCATCTGCATAAAACACACACACACACACACACGCACGCGCACACACACACGCACAGAGCGCCACACACACACACACGCATGCACACACACACACACGCACACACACGCACACACACACGCATGCGCACACACACACACATGCACACACACACACACACACATGCACGCACACACACACATGCGCATGCACACACGCAAGCACGCACACTCACACGCACAGACTGCCACACACGCACGCATACACACACACACACACACACACACGCACACACACACACGCACAGACCCACGCACACACGCACAGACCGCCACACACGCACACACACAAACACACACGCAGACCCACACAGACTCACACACACACATGCACAGACCGCCACACACGCACGCATGCACGCACACACACACGCACAGACCGCCACACATGCACACACATGCACACACTCGCACACGCACGCACACACACACACACACACACACACACACACACACACACACACACGATTTATAAAAAGTCTAATATACAGTGTTACAGTTATAAACATGGCTAAGAAATTTAGAATTGTTTGTAGTTTTAGTCGTTAACTCTACACTTAGGGTCTCTAACAACCTTCTGACTCACAGTGATGCAGGGGACTGTTCTGTGCTGGGACCTCAATAGTAGAGTCTACTTTGAACATCTTAGGTGTGTTCTTGCTGTGTCTTTGTAAATCCATGCTTTCGTTCTTTTTTAAACACAGAAACAGTTTTGTTTACCTGTTTGTAGCTACGGTTTCGCCGACAGCTGCCGGCTTCTTCAGGCTGACGCTGATGGTGGCGCGTCACTTCCTTCTCCGTTTATCTGCGGGCAGCAGAGGACGTTGTCGCCCTCTACTGCCCGCTCTCCCCTCTCCGACGATGCAGTCCCATGCGTGGTCCAGCGTGTAAACTCTGGAAATTTAAGATGCCGGGACGAAAACATCACACCCACAAGCCTACAGCTGAAAACATCGATCCGGACCCAGACTGCACAAAATATAATAGAAAGAGCACAGAGAGCACTGCTCAAGGAGAGGATAAGGAACGTCATAACCAAACAGAGGCGTGTGGAGGACGAACTGGAAAGAGGACACCTGGACTTGAAAAGGAATTACAAACTTGATAAACAAATGGAGGAACTAATTAAAGGACACATGATGGAAAAACAGGAACAAGAGTTCATAAAAGTGAAAGAAAGACACATAAAGAAGTTAAACAGACTCATAAACAAGAAAAAGAGGGGAGAAATACAAGGCAACTCCACACCAAACTCATGGGTATGTAACATTTCACAATACAAACTAACAGAAGCAGAAGAGAGCATATTAAGGAAAGGTTTAAACTTTGCAGTCACACCAAAAGAAATACCATATGATGAATTTATTGTAGCAACAGAACTAGCATGTCAACAGATCACAGATGAGGGAAAGAAAGCAGAACTCAGAAATAACATTGTTGGGATATTAAAAAACAGCCAAATTCAACACAGCAATATTACAAAAGAAGAACAATCAGCCATGACAGCTTTATCCAAAAATGAACAGATAATTATTCTACCGGCAGATAAAGGAAGAACCACAGTAGTTATGGACAGAGAAAAATATAAACAACAGATGAAACAGATGCTAGAAGACAAAAA